GCTAGCCTCATAAAATGGGTTTGGAAGTTTTCCTTCCATTTCTATTTTTTGGAACAGTTGCAGGAGAATAGGAATTAATTCTTCTTTAAATGTTGGTAGAATTCCCCTGGGAAGCCATCTGGCCCTGGGTTCTTGTTTGTTGGGAGATTTTTGATGACTGCTTCAATCTCCTTACTGGCTATGGGTCTGTTCAGGTTTTCTATTTCTTCCTGGTTCAATTGTGGTAGTTTATATGTCTCTAGGAATGCATCCATTTCTTCCAGATTGTCAAATTTGCTGGCATAATTGCTCATAATATGTTCTTATAATTGTTTGTATTTCTTTGGTGTTGGTTCAATTCCAGACTCCTCTTTCACTCATGACTTTATTTATTTAGGTCCTTTCTCTTTTCTTTTTGATAAGTCTGCCAGGGGTTTATCAAGCTTACTAATTCTTTCAAAAAACCAGCTCCTAGTTTCATTGATTTGCTCTATTGGGTTTTTTATGTTTCTATTTCATTGATTTCTGCTCTAATCTTTATTATTTTCTTCTCCTGCTGGGTTTAGGCTTTTTTTGTTGTTCTTTCTCCAGCTCCTTTAGGTGTAGGGTTAGGTTGTGTATTTCAGACCTTACTTGTTTCTTGAGAAAGGCTTGTATCACCATATATTTTCCTCTCAGGACTGCCTTTGCTGTGTCCTACAGATTTTCAACCATTGTGTTTTCATTATCATTTGTTTCCATGAATTTTTTCAATTCTTCTTTAACTTCCTGGTTGACCCATTCATTCTTGAGAAGGATGCTCTTTAGTCTCCATGTATTTGGGTTCTTTCCAAATTTCCTCTTGTGATTGAGTTCTAGCTTCAGAGCATTGTGGTCTGAAAATATGCAGGGAATGATCCCAGTCTTTTGGTACCAATTGAGACCTGATTTATGACCCAGGATGTGATCTATTCTGGAGAATGTTCCATGTGCACCAGAGAAGAATGTGTATTCCATTGCTTTGGGATGGGATGTTCTGAATATATCTGTGATGTCCATCTGGTCCAGTGTGTCATTTAAGGCCTTTATTTCCTTGTTGATCTTTTGCTTAGATGATCTGTCCTTTTCAGTGATGGGGGGGTGTTAAAGTTCCCTACTATTATTGTATTATTGTTGATGTGTTTCTTTGATTTTGTTATTAATTGATTTATATAGTTGGCTGCTTCCATGTTAGGGCCATAGATTTTAAAATTGTTAAATCTTCTTGTTGGACGAACCTTTTGAGTATGATATAGTGTCCTTCCTCATCTCTTATTATAGTCTTTGGCTTAAAATCTAATTGATCTGATATAAGGATTGCCACCCCAGCTTTCTTTTGATGTCCATTAGCATGGTAAATTGTTTTCCACTCCTCACTTTAAATCTGGATGTGTCTTTGGGTCTAAAATGTGTTTCTTGTAAACAGCATATTGATGGATTTTGTTTTTTTATCCATTCTGTTGCCCAGGGTCTTTTGATTGGAACATTTACCCATTTACATTCAGGGTAACTATTGAGAGATATGAAATTAGTACCATTGTGTTGCCTGTAGTGTGACTGTTACTGTATATTGGCTCTGTTCCTTTCTGGTCTACTACTTTCAGGCTTTCTCTTTGCTTAGAGGACCCCTTTAATATTTCCTGTAGAGCTGGTTTGGTGTTCACAAATTCTTTTAGTTTTTGTTTGTCCTGGAAGGTTTTTATCTCTCCTTCTATTTTCAATGACAGCCTAGCTGGATATAGAATTCTTGGCTGCATGTTTTTCTCATTTAGTGCTCTGAATATATCATGCCAGTTCTTTCTGGCCTGCCAGGTCTCTATGGATAAGTCTGTTGAAAATCTAATATTTTTACCATTGTATGTTACAGACTTCTTGTCCCAGGTTGCTTTCAGGATTTTCTCTTTGTCCCTAAGACTTGTAAATTTTACTATTAGGTCATGGGGTGTGGACCTCTTCTTATTGATTTTGACGGGGGTTCTCTGCACCTCCTGGATTTTGATGCTTGTTCCCTTTGTCATATTAGGGAAATTCTCTACAATAATTCTCTCCAATATACCTTCTGCTCCCCTCTCTCTTTCCTCTTCTTCTGGAACTCCAATTATTCTAATGTCATTTCATCTTATGGTATCACTCATCTCTTGAATTCTCCCCTCATGGTCCAGTAGTTGTTTGTCTCTCTTTTGCTCAACTTCTTTATTCTTTGTCATTTGGTCTTCTATATCACTAATTCTTTCTTCTGCCTCATTTATCCTAGCTGTAAGAGCCTCCATTTTTTATTGCGTCTCATTAATACCTTTTTTGATTTCAGCTCGGTTAGATTTTACTTCTTTTATTTCTCCCGAAAGGGCTTTTATTTCTCCAGACAGGGTTTCTGTAATATCTTCCATGCCTTTTTCAAGCCCAGCTAGCACCTTGAGAATCGTCATTCTGAACTCTAGATCTGACATATTACCAATGTCTGCATTGATTAGGTCCCTAGCCTTCGGTACTGCCTCTTGGTTTTTGGGTTTTTTTTGTTTTTGTTTTTGTTTTTTTTGTGGTGGGTTTTTCCACCTTGTCATTTTATCCAGAGAAGACTATATGAAGGAGAGAATAAAATACTAAAAGGGTGGCAAAGACCCCTGGAAAATATGTGCTAACCAAATCAGAAGAGACCCCAAATCGTGGGGAGAAGAAAGGGGGTAAAAAGAAGTTAAAAACATTTTTTTTAGAAAAAAGAAAATATACATATTAGACTGATGAATAGAACAGAGCCACCCACTTAATTTTGGAAATATTTTGGTCTCTTAGAAGAAACTACCTCCCAAAACTTTAAAGAAAGAAAAAGTTATATATATGTATGTATACACACACACACACACACACACATATATATATATGTGTACACACACACACACACACAAAATAAGGGTAAACACGATGAAGGGATAGAATATGACTATAAAGATGAAAACTGAAAAAAAATTCTAAGAAAGGAGTTGATAAGGTAAGTTGGTTGGGAATAGAAAGAAAAAGAAAGTGGAGAGAATTTGCTCAGGCTGGAGACTAGAATGAAGCCCTGTGCTAGATTTAGGGTATATTTTGATCAATTAGAAGAAGTTGTATCCCAAAATTTTTTAGAAGAAAAAACCCTATGTGTATACAAAAAATAAAGTTAGATACAATGAAGGATTAAATATGACTATAATAATGAAGTTTCAAAAACATTTTTTTATGAAAGGTATTGTTAAGATAAACTAGTTAAAAAATGTTAAAAGAGGAAAGAGTAAAAGTTAGAAAAAATTAGAATAAGAAAAAAATAAAATTAAAAAAATTAATTAACTTTGCAAGACTAAAAAATCATGGGGAGAAAGCCATGAATTCCATGATTTGCTTTCTCCTCCTCTGGAATTCCACTGTTCTTCCTAATAAGTGAACTTGGTCTTGGCTGGATTTCTTGTTGATCTTCTGGGGGAGGGGCCTGTTGTAGTGATTCTCAAGTGTCTGCCCTACGTGGAATTGCACCGCCCTTGCCAGGGGCTTGGCTAAGTAATCTGCTCAAGTTCGCTTTCGGGAGCTTTTGTTCCCTGAAGGCTTTCCACAGAGTTCTGGAAGATGGGAATGAAAATGACGGCCTCCCTATCTCCAGCCTGGAGGAATCAAGAGCTTGGGGTTCCACTCCTCAGTGCGCCCCAGAGAGAAGCACTCAATTACTCCCATCTCCCTGGCCTCCGACCACACTCTGAGTTCACCCAGCCTGTGACCAAGCATCTCTGTCTCGGGCACACAGCACCACCTGGAGTCTCCAAACCCAGCAGATCCCTGAGCTCCCAGTGGGGGTCTCCCCGGATCTTGTGGGTTCCCTGCTCAAAAAGCAGTGGCCTGACTGTGCCATGGATCACAGTTTAAGGTATCCCTGAGTTGAGAGCTCACTCCTTGGCTCCATCTCTGTAGCCGGCTTCCCTGCTTTCATACCTGCGAGGTCTGCAACACGCAGACACCCCCAATCTTTCTGTGACCCTGTGTGGGCTCCACCCCCGCTTAGCCTCTGGAGCGATGTCCCTCAGTGGAGCAGACTTTTAAAAGCACTGATTTAGTGCTCCGTTGTTCCACCGCTTGCCAGGAGCTGACCCCTCCCCTGCGGTCTATCTTCCTGTCACTTTAGATTCACTTCTCCACAGGTCCTACCTTTCAGAAAGTGGTCGATTTTCTGTTTCTAGAATTGCTGCTCTTCTTCTCTTTGATCTCCTGTTGGATTTGTAGGTGTTCAGAATGGTTTGATAAACTATCTAGCTGATCTCCTGCTACCTGATGTCAGCTCAGCCTGCTGACTCCTCTGTACTGTGACTTCTTTTTCTACACATCACCTGGAAGATTCAGCAAGTAGTATCTCGGGAACTCAGAGAACAGGCTGGGGTGATCAGGGTGGGCCTCCTGGAGGAGCCGTCCTTTTTCTGGGCTGTTGTACCCACGCACTCATTCTGGGAGGGGTCTGCCTCTCACACCTCGATTTTGGTTTTCTGATCCATGTCACCTGACTGCATCTCTGGTCCCCTGACCATCATGGGCAGAGCCTAGGGTGTGACGTCTGTGGGGCATGGGCTTGTATCCAAGACCCTGAGAAGGTATAGAAGGCCAGGCTGGCCTCCAGACCTGGACAGACAGTCCTGGACAGTCTTGGCCATTTCCCAGACCTGTCCAGCTCTCTCAGTTCCCATCCTGAACCCTGAAGTCAGAGCAATGAATTCTCACTGTGCACCAGGCCTCAGGCTTACACACCTTGTCTCTGAATCCCTGCTTGCCTGCAGGTGAGTCTTCCTGTCCCCCTTCACAGATGCTATGGCAGACATAGAGAAGTCATGGAATCAGCCAGAGCTCCAGAGCCTGCAGCTGGCCGACCTGGCCTTGGTTTCTGTCCCACTCTCAGGCTCGTCGCTATGGCCTGTGCACCGCACCTACATCATGAGAAAGCCTCGTGACCTGCCCTCGTGTACTGACTTCTCCCCTCTTTTCTCTGACCCTAGGTGCCCCCGGCCCTCCAGGACCAAGAGGACTCAAAGGAGACATGGGCATGAAAGGACCCATTGGCAGCAGAGGACCCAAAGGAGACCCTGGCAGCTTGGGCCCACCAGGACCCCAGGGTCCTCAGGGACAGCCTGGAGACAAAGGACCTGTGGGAGAAAGGGGTCCGGTTGGCCTTCGAGGTTTCCCAGGCCTCAAAGGCTCAAAGGGAAGCTTTGGAAATGGAGGCCCAAGAGGACAGCCAGGCCCCAAGGGGGATGTGGGGCCCCCCGGGTCAGAGGGGCCTCCAGGGTCTCCAGGGCCCCCCGGGCCTCAGGGAAAACCAGGGATTGCTGGGAAGACAGGGTCGCCGGGCCAGCGGGGGCCCATGGGGCTTAAGGGTGAACCAGGGATCCAGGGGCCCCCAGGACTCCCAGGGCCCCCAGGCCCACCAGGAAGCCAGAGCCGCTACTAAAAGCCCCAGTCCCAGACACTGCTAGGCAGAATGGGAGGAAGGGCCCCAGGGCAGAGCGAGCGGCCCAGAAAGCCACACCTACAGATAGTGGTGGTAATTTGATCCCAAAGGGGCTTCCTCCCACCGGCCTGCCCCTGCACCTGTGGGCTCCCCAGTACTGACTGTACCATAGAAAGCAGCCCCTCACGCACACGCACATGTACACGCACACACCTTTCTCTGCTGGCCAGGAGGGCCAGCCGGGTTTCCCAGGCTGGGCAGGAGGAGATGGCGGGAGGAGACATCCCCTGTCCTGTGACTGAGCCTGCCAGGGAGGTGACTACCTTGGGAAGAAGGTCTTGATCCTATTTCTGAATTGCTAACCAACTCAGCATCTTCAGAACCAACCTAGCTAGCAGTTCCCTGTGGCTCCCAGCGGCTGGGAAGACTCAGGAAAACCTTTGCAGAAGATGTAGTACAAACTCTAGGGACAAGATGGATTTGGCCACCCAAACACTCTCCTTCTAAGCATGGGAACAGAGTCCCAGGAGCTGCCCCTGCCTTACACAGACCAGAGGGTCCCCACCTGTGCTGCTGTCCTCAGGTTCTGGGCACCGTGCTCCCAGGAGTTGCGCAATTTTTTCATGTCTCCAGAAAGTTCTTCCACATCATCCTTGCCCTCCTTCTCCCAGGAGCATCCCAGGAGAATGCAAGCAGGAGTCTCATCCGCATGGGAAGACTATCTAGGCCCTGGAACATTCTCCCAGAGTGGTGCCCTGCAGCTGGGACCCTGAAGGAAGGTGGGGGTGGGGGGCAGGAGCAAGTGTGAAGAGGCTGGGGTCACGAGGCTGTGTGCGGGGCTGGCTCCCTTGCTTCGAGCCAGGCTGGACTGCTCCACTCCCCTCTGTGGGGCTGATGGAGATGGGCCCCCTCTGTGGTGGCTGACGGAGGGCCAACCCCGGCAGCTCTCCCCTCCTACACCTGGCTCTCCTGCCCATAACCGCCCTCTGATCTCCCCCGACCATGACTCAGAACGGCCGAGGCCTCTCTGCTTGAGCAGCAGGACTGGACTCGAAGACAGAAGGGCCTGAACATCCACAGGGGGCTCACTTTGACATCACCCCTCACCCCCTTCCTGTGCACAGGTGCAGAAAGGAGCTCTGGGACATCCCCCCAGCAAGGTGAAGGCGGTCCCCAGGCTAAACTGGTTGTCAAGCTGCCCTCCTTTGGGTTTGACAGATTCCCACCACTCCTGGGCTGGGGGCATGGAGCTGTCTCCTCCCCGGCCCCGACTCAGACTCCAGCTCCTTCCTTCCTTCCGAAAGCCTCACAGTGTCACCTCCCTTCTCATCATAGGTGTGCAACTGGCTTGTACTCCCGCCTGCCCCCACTGCCGTGTAATCCTGTCTACCTATGATATCATGAGACATAGTATTACTGACTCAGTAAAGAGCTCTTTCCAGAAGGGAGGTGTCTTCTGGTCCTTTCTGCCCTAAAACGGGCATTAATGCCTTCAGGAGCTCTGCCTCACCTGCCCTGGAAGGAGAACCAGTGGACGAGGGGGTCCCCCAGATACTCAGTGTGGAGTTTGGGTCTCCCCCTCTGCCCCTCCATCTAGAAATACTGAGTTCTACCAGGAGCTCACAGTTGTCCCATTGGGGCCAAGGACCAAGAGGATGTGGGGGAATTACTCACAATGAGCAGAAGCCCAGTGGGCTGAAATGGACCAGGACAAAATGGGTCCTGGACATCTGAGGGATACCTTCCTGAGGCTTCCCTCTCCTGCCTCTAAGAATGGCAGATAAAAGAAAAAAGGAGGAAGAGACCAGGCTAGATCTTCCCCCAAAGGCCTGGCTCTCCAGGATCCCCAGGAAACAGAAGACAGTGGGGTACCCCGTGAATTAGCCATGCCTGCCCCAGGAGGCTGGAGTGTGTGAGGGGAGCTCGGCCCTCGGGGGCTGGCTTGGAAAGCATAACTCTAAGTCCATCTAGGCTGCTACCTCAGAAAACCACAGACTGCTGACTTACAAACAACAGACATCTATTTCTCACGGTTCTGGAGGCTAAAAGTTCACGATCAAGGTACTGGCAAGCTTAGAGTCTGGTGAGGCCCTGCTTCCTGGCTCATAGCTGGCCACATGCTCACTGAGCCCTCACAGGGAAGGAAAGGGGAGGGAGCTCTCCGGAGTCACTAATTCCATTCATAAGGGCTCCACCCTCAAGACCCAGACACTTTCTAAAAGCTCCATCTCCTAATACCTCTGCACTGGAGGTTAGGGCTTCAATAGATAAATTTTGGGGAGACACAATTGTCTGTGGTAGGTAACACAATGTATTCATTTGCTAGTGAAACATGGCCTAGTGTAAGTCCTATGCCCTGTTTTGCTTTTGTATTTTGCGTTTTTGTATTTTTGCATTTTCTCCAGAGAAACAAAACCAATAGACTATCCAGTAGTCCCCTGTTATCTGTGAAGGATATGCTCCCAGACCTGCAGTGGGTGCCTAAAACCACAGATAGTCCTAGACCCTATATATATTTTGCTTTTTTCCCCCAAATATACATACCTATGATAAAGTTTAATTTATAAATTAGGCACAGTTAAGAGGTTCACAACAACAATAATAAATAGAACAATTATAACAATATGCTATAATAAAATTCTATGAATGTGATCTCTTTTTCTCTCTCTCAAAATATCCCATTATATTGTACTCACCCTTCTTCTTGTAGGGATGCGAGATGGTATAATGCCCACGTGATGGGATGAAGTGAGGTGAGGGACCTAGGCGTCATGACCTAAGTGTTGGGCTACTATTGGCTGGAAGGAGGATCGTCAGCTTTTAGGTTGTGGTTGACAGCAGTAACTATAACCTTGGGAAGCAAAATTGCAGATAGGGTGGACTATTATATACATGTGTGTGTACATACTGGGGTGGGAGGGCACAGAGACAGATACAGAGACTGAGAAGTTCCATGATCTTCTGTCTGTAGGCTGCAGACTCGGGAACATCTGTGGTGTAGTTCTAGTATGAGTCCAAAGACCAGGGAACCAGGAGAGTCTGTAGTGTAAATTCCAGTCCAAGGCAGGGGAAGACCCACGTCCTAGCTCACACAGTCAAGCAGAGATAGAATTCTCCCTTTCTTCACCTTTTTGTTCTACTCTCTCACCCTCAACGGATGGGATGATACCAACCCGCTTTACTGAAAGTGATCTTTACTCAATCGACCCATTTGAATGCGAATCTCTTCTGGAAACATCCTCACAAGCACACCTAGAAATAATGTTTAGCACCGAGGCCTTGTGCTGTGGGTCTCACCTCTAGGAGGGGAGGGGGGGCTCATAGTGAACAGATAGCTCTCCACCTCAAGCAGCATGTGAAGCAGGCCAAGGGTGGGAGAGGATGCGGCCCTGGGGGCAAGTGTAACAGGTGAAGCTGAGTAGGCCAGGGGAGGCATCACCCAGGCCATGGCACAGAGATGGTGGGCCTTGAAGGAGACAGTGGAGATGATCCAGTGGTATCATTTTACAGCCTGGGTCCCCAAGAATGCCTCCGGGAAATTACAGCCAATCGCTATCCAGGGTGGGGTTGTCAGCATGACTGGTGGTAACCATGCTCCCCAGCATAAGCCAGCGGCCCAGGGAGCTGGAGGAGTCCAAGCCTGGGGGCAAGACAATATCCTGGAGTCAAAAATCCCAGTTAGATCTGCAATCAATTCCAAGAGATGAATTGGGATCCAGAAGGAGAGACTAGGCTGCAAGGATCAAAAACCGAGCGATTCGAGAACATAGAAGCAAACATGTAAGAAAAACACACGTCCTGGACAGTTGCCACCAGCATCCCTGGCCATGTGGTTTGGAGGGTGATGGGCCGGCTGGGAAACCGGGGCTCCAAAATGGTGGATCTTCCAGCCAACCCACTCCAAAATGGCGGACTATCCTGCCACCCTCACTGCGGCCTCCACGTCACCATCAGGAGACCAAAACTCTCCATGCAGGAGCTTCCAAATTGGAAACTGGCCATCACGGACCACCCCCACCCCATACCCTCTGATCACCACATACCCAGTGGGCGCAAGGCTATCCCCTACCTCAACCCGATAAAAGGACCTCACCAACTCCCTCCCAGTGCGACTTCCCCGACTCACTATCACCCCCCTCCCCCTTTCTGTGAGTCGTGGAACCTCGCCCGAGGGTGCTTGCAATAAAGTTCATCTCTCGGATCCATTCGCCTTGTAGCCTCTTTTCTTACCATCACCGGAGGGAGCAACTCTACATTTGGTGCCGGCACCCGGGAAGGAGGTTGAGCCCTTGCCGGGCACAGAGGCTCCCTCCTCCTCACCTGCGGACCGCAACCTCCCGCCGCCCACCTCGAGAAGGCTTACTTCGGAGCCTGTTGTGGTGAGTGTTCCTGGCCCCGATCCACTTCCAGGTCGCCCCGTCCTAGCCGCGGCCGCGCCTGGGCAGACCTCCAGCCATCTGGTGGCCCCGCCAGTCCCAAGGAATCGGGAGATGTCCTCATTCCGCGGAAACTGCTGTCCCTCTGGTGACCCAGTGCACGGACGAGGGGACGCGCTCCTCCGTAATCTGAGTGGGTAGATGAAGGGGACCATGGGAGCCTCCCAATCCAAATTCGACCCCAAAACGCCCCTGGGCTGCCTTCTGGCCAACCTCCGTACTTTGGAGTTAGACCAGGACTTACGCAGGCGACGCCTTATACATTATTGCACCGTTGCCTGGCCTCAATACAAATTAGACAACCAATCGCAATGGCCTCCCCAGGGCACATTTGACTATCAGGTGCTCACAGATCTTGA